CTTCTTCCAAAAGGACTGTTGTTGTAAGTGTGGGTCTTCGTACAAGTTGTTGTGTGAATTTTATCTTCCTCGCATATCACTGTATATCGAGCGTGGCAATCCGCACAATCACCGATCGATCGAACTGACGATATAGCCTCAAAAGATAAAAGTGAGGAGAGAGAGAGAGAGTTTGTTTTCTTTTACGAAATATTTTTCAAAACTCGTCGCAATTCGATCGAGCTATCAAACACGGTGGTTTAGAAAAACACTGCGCGAATACGGATATAATATTGAAATCAAACGACTTCCGAATTAATTAGTTGCGTCTCATTTTAGCACGCAACTCGATCACCTTTCGAGTTGCTTGTATCTCGTGTTTTCTTAGAACGCCGTGTAATTAATTCTTAGGTTAACAAATAAACGTTCTTAATTATATAGATGTCTTTTCCATGTGTCATTTAGACAAAGCGAAAGTGAGGCTTTCGAAAACGGAAATCGTTGTGATACCAAATAGCTGTAAAACTTTAAGAATCTTACGATTAGGCAAAGTTTCGGAGGCAAAACAACTTCTGTAATAACGACTGCAATAGATTCTAACGAGTTTGTTGGAATAATCAAAAAAAAAAAACCACCATTATCTTAGCGAAGTTGCAGAATAAAAATCTAACTTTACAACAAATAAGACTCAGTAACGTACACGCAAATACTGTTTATCACAAAATGTTATAATGCTGTAAAAAAATTATGTTAACATTTGATTGAACTATCATAGCAGAAAAATGTACGAATTTGTTACTTTGATGCTATTAAAGAAAAAAAGAAAGAAGAAAACCTTGTACACAAATTGAAGACGAAGAAAAAAAATGATGTGTCAAACACAACGCGTGTATAACACGTACAAGTTTAAAATAAGTATTACGAAGTTTACAGAAACTTTCAGTCTGTCTGTGTGTCTGTCTTTAGGCCGTATGCATCGATGTCAATTGTGCGCGAAATGCATTTCACGATGTATGCATTTCAAATATAAAAAAAATATGAATTAATAATAAAACCAAACTATCGAGTTCAAATAAAACTTAACGCTTTGACTTATCGATTATACATATCTTTTACTCTCAATCGAGTTAATTGAAGATTTGACGCGAATATTATCTACAATTATATCTCACTAAAAATTTTTAGCAAATTCAAAGACTTATAAGATTAAAATTACACGTCGTTTAGAACGTACATATAGATGAGCTCCAATTGCTCGAGAAACAATACTTCTATTGTCATAAAATTACTTACTTTTCACTGTCACGAGCGAACGTCATAAAATCGAATTTGTCAAATTAAATTTTACAAAGTGCGTGAATCATGTTTGCATTCGATGCATAAAGGCTTAAGATGTTACAAGCTTTACGATGTATACGCCTGAATAGAACAATCTGTAACCGTCAATTATGTCGTATCCAACGATCTGTCGTCCTCTTCAAATCTCGTGCTTCGAGATAAGCGCCGTAATAGAAAACGATTAATATTAAGGATTTTACTAAGACATTACACGACGTATTTCGATCAATTTAGTCGTTAGGCGATTGCGATGTACGAAGATCCGCGGAATCGATTACGCTGACGATAGCGATTTTACATTTACCTACTGTTTGCAAGCAAGCGATATGAGAAAACGAGCAAATCGCCTAATTTACAAGATTTAGTTAATTGTAATAGTTATCAATTATTTGCGTTATCTGCGACTTAATTTAGTTCTAATCAAATGCAGTATCAAAGATATCGTTTACTGAATTGTCTGTGTAAAGTAGACGATTATTTAATTAAATGTAGAATCAAATTGTTAAAATACTTAGAGCGTTTTTTATATTTTGTGTAGCTTTAAATATTTAGCATAAAACCACACATTGATCAAAAACTTTTTAAAAAAGTACCGTTTGTTATGCCGAGTTCACAAAGAAGAGATTGATAAAGCGCAAGGCTTAAACATGTGGTTATAAGTTTCGTTGCTCGAAGCTCGAGGACAAAACTGATGGTTCCACAATTGAACATATCAAGGTCTCGTAGAAAAGGCCAAACAAATAATATTCGGAGATTTCTATAGTCTAATTTCACGTAGATTCAGTTTTTTCGATGCTTTTGCTCGCGCGACAGGAAACACGCGGGATATTATTTGTGAAGCGGCTCGATCGCGCGGTGATGCGCGGCTTCCAAGAATTATCTTGGAAATTATGTATGATCTGATATATAAATACGCAGGAGAATCCTGTCCACTGTGAGAAAAAAAGTCCGTATTTTCATTTCAGCATCCTATTGTCTTCCTCTTATTTGCGTTAAAATCCAGTGCTCCGTTTGTTCTGTTTGAGAAAGAGAGAGAGGGAGGGGGGTAATTATTTACTTAGGGAGAACTTTATCGCTTTTGATGACCTTGATGAAATATGTTGTCAAGATCAACATTCTGAACAACTTTTCCTTACATATGACTGCCACTCGGCTTTAGTTTTTGAGATATTCAAAAACCTTCAGGATTAGGCGTGAAATATATTTGGGTGAAGTATTAAATAATAAGATAACTACAATATAGTTTGAACTTTATACTATATTATCATTATTTGAAATTGGAAATATTTCAGACATAATATTTAAAAAATGAATTATTTAACTGAATTAGAAGGGGAACATTTACGTACTATAGTCGTGTTTTAAGCGTATAGACAGAGGGTTGCGCCCCCTCCCCCCGCAAGGGAAAGAGCTTTTCCTCTCCCTTTGCACTCTCTAAAGAAACCTAACCCTAATCTAATCCTAACCCAATCTGTGTTATTACAATATTATTAATGATATTGTAATGACATCGAACACTATTTTTGTGCAAAATTTCAGATCGATCGGGAGCAGGGGCCATTCGGAACTATATCCTATTAATGTCACAATGCATAATATATGCTATATCGCAACATATTAGAGACTGGGTTGAGTTAGGTTTTTTTGGTGGGGAAAGACAAAGGAAAAAGCAAAGTTTCTCTCCCTGCGAGAAGCGTAGTCCCCTCCTGCCTACACGCTTACAACACGAACAAAAAGAACACCATAAAGAATGAAGTGTAATTGTAAAATAAATGTTAGTAAGTTTTTTATAAATATCTCAAAAACTAAAGCCGAGCGGCGGTCATATGTACAAGGAAAAGTTGTTCAGAACGTTGATCTTGACAACAAATTTCAAGGTCATCAAAATCGGTGATCCACTAATGTAAATAATTACCTCACTTTTAATTATGATAATGTAAATTATCCTAAGTATTTAAGTATATTAATATTTCTAAACGAGATATTACTCTTTGACAAGAATACTATTTATTATTTAAAAACTAATATACATATATATTAGCCACACGTATATATAAATATAATTATAAATATAAATTTTTTATATTAGTTTTATTAAATGACTTTCTAGAATTTTTGTTGTATGTGTATGTCAATAGTATTGTAATTTTCGTTATTTGTATATTATTTTTAACTAAAAATTGTTAAAAAGATAGTAAAACTCAGTAAATAATTGATTCTGCAGAATATCTAGTGCCCTCTTGTATTTGATTTATGAACTATTAAATAAAAGAGAAATCCGCAATTTAAAAGATAATCTACTATATACAATAGTGACAAACGCAATAATATAATACATTTAAAATATTTTTTGTTTTTACAAAAAAAGAAAAATAAAAACAGTTTTTAAAATAGAGTAACTTTTTATTATAGAGAATTTAGCTTTTAATCAATAAATTTGAGATCAAATCATCATTACCTACCGCGGGAAAATCATCGGCCACAGAAAGAGATATTATCGGCAAAACAAGCATGTAAGACGGGACAGGAAACTATATTAACTACATTTTGTTCGACTGCAAACATTAGGAATGATGATAGGATCAGGAATTTTGTAAAGAACTAAAATTTAGCAAGAACGAGTTATAATCGTTAGATATGTAAAACTGACTATAAAAGGCTGATTAAATAAGCATGTAAAGAGCTTTATAAAACTATTTTATTTATTTTTGTGTACCAAATTTATTGTGGTTCATATAACAAGAAAGAAAAATCCAAATTCAAAGAAAACCTTATGAGCTATGATCTCCACCAATAATAGCAAATAATAAGTATAAAACTTTTATTTATTAAGATGATTTTGAAAGTTTTATTATAAACATTTTATTTTTTATACAAATCATTATTATGTTTTGTTGAAACATAAACAAAATGTGTGGTTCTTTGTATATATACTTGTACAGGTTGGCTACAGATAATATCAAAAATAATAAACAATCAAAACGTTTCGATACATTATTAAAATTACTTTTACCCATTATCATTCGTAAATTAGCTCGTAAGTTTTTATTTAAATTACTATAATGTTATTATACATATATTGAAGTATTGTGTTTAAATTTTGCATTACTTAGAGTTGAGCAATTGTCTGATTGTAGTTCCACACATTTGAGACAGATATTTATATCAATATTACATTAGTATTTATAGTACATTATATGTTAAATCTTTTATTTATTGTTTATATTATTATTTATAAGTATCATATATAGTTTATCACTTATGTGTGTTACATAAATCCGCGAGTATTAAAATTCGTCGTCATCACGCAGCTTCTCTTACGTAAAATTTCGTATTGCATAACTGTCAATGTGAACGCGTGATACGCCTATCAACGCTCGCTCGCGAGATTGCCAACCATATTTCACCGGCGCTATAATTCACTTTTACCCTCACACGTCATTTTTCACCCCATCGTTCTTTCTGACACGTATCTTCTTGATTGAAAAATTGCAAGATCTCTCTCTAATTCAGACGCACACGTGCTTAGATGTTACACGATACCACCGATGAAAGAGAGTAGGGCTTAATCAGTTAGTCGATAGGCAAATTGGCTTAGAGACGACCAAGCGACAGGGGTGGTTTATAGACACTGGCGGGAAAGAAGGTGCTATGGCGGGTGACCAGTAACCGTGTGACAAACCTGGCGTACCGATCACACGATAAAATCCCCGACACACATTTTTTGTCGAGTTATCTCGACATTTTCTGCAAATATCGTAATCGAAAGAGACACTTTTCTCACGCCGAAGAATATCCTATCGAATTAAAACTCTCTATATCGAGTTATAACAGTTATATCGTCTCAGTGTCTGAAATCAAAGTTGGCTGGAAGAGACAGTCTCGAGAGACAGGTTCGTAATCATGTTTTGGAACTTGAATAGAAACTAAAAGAACGAGAGAGATTGTAGATCTTTCTCGGTAATATAATTTTTCGAGTCTTTATTGATTTTAATTGCACTTGATTCCACGTTGATTACGTTACAAGTAAATTATGAACACGACTTCAAGAGCATAGTCTTTTCGAAGGTCGAGTACATTTATACGTAAAGTTCTTAATCATACAGTCTTCTAGTCACGAACATGTGCCGTTTGGACTTTGACGTTTTTTTTCTTTAAATGTTATGGCATTATTGTATGACATTTAGCATGATGTCAGCACACTCAAATTGTTATTACTCGCTTATTACTTATTCACCTGTTTTCTTTCTCTTTTTGATAAATTCTATCTTTATATTTTGTATGTATTAAAATCAAATGTGTTCTTCCATTTTTATATAATAGATAATTCTTTCATTTTTACATAGAATACACCATTATGTAACTTTGTCTGCATTACGAAGTTTGTACATTTATATATATATATGTACAAAAACACATATATTATATACATATATATGTGTGTGTGTGTATTTATATTCATATTTATGTAACAGTTACACGTTTTTCATTAATTTAAAAACGTCCTGTAAAAGGATATTTTTCTCACTTGTAAAAATAAATAAACTTGTTATCTTAAATATCTTAAAAACTCTCAAAATTCTTATATGTATGTACTATGCAACTACAAAAGCTCGTCGGGTTTTTGTTACAAAGGTCGGTTTAAATTCTCGCCACATAATAAACGAATCCGAATATAAAATTGTTTTTGGCCAAAAACGTTTAAGTTCATTATGTCGGGATTATAGAGATAAGCTGTAGAAAGTAAATATTACGTCACTCAATGTCATTCAAAGTGTTTATTTCAAAGTCTATTTGTAGCAAAAAAAAAATAAACAAATTTTCTACGAACTCGATGCTTAAATCCCTCCATAAAATTTAAGAGTGACTTCTGACAGTTTTAACGTCTATCTAGATTGCCATCAGTGATTAATGTCGACAACGTGATTCATCAAGATCCCGAAGACATTGATCGGCCCTTAATGGGTTTGTTCATGAAATGCGCCACGTTCAGGTGTAATTCAGATGTTCATTGATCCACGAAGGCTTGAAAGTGATCGAGGTCCGGCGGAAAAGATTATCGGACGAGCGGTTGACAACCTCTGTTTGATCTTTGTAAAGAGCATTCGCCGGATTTCCGAACAATAGAATGCGCAGCTGATCGGTGAGTAACAAATTATATTGAAAAAGCGGGATATAAAAAATCAAAAATAAGAGATACATGTGTAAATAACTGAAAATATAATATGTTGAGAATATATATATTGTCGCGAATTAATAAGCACGCGAAGAGTTGCTTTGAGTATTTGTTTGTGAAAACTTCGCAATTTTACTAATGATTTTTAGACTGAAAAGCACTGAGTATAAACTATTATGTAATTTTTTTAAATCGATATATACAGATTAAAATAATATTGCTTCTCGATTTTTGGCACTTACTTTTTTTTATTGTACTAGTGACACCAAGAAAAAGATAAAAATATTACGATCGATGGATCAATTCCGAAAATAACTACTCTGATTTTTTATTTTTACCCATTAATCTCGTAAAACTGGGACGCGTGTGTTATTTTGTGTTCAATATATTTACAATTAGAACCTTTTTTTTATAAAGTGCTTGAATTAAATATTTCTATGTGTAACTGTTATTGTGTAAATCGAAGACATTAAAAATAACTGTCAATCTATATTTATCGTCGCGTTATTGACAGAAACATCAAACTTAAGTCAAAATTTAGACGTAACTCAGAAATTTCGTTGTTAAGTAGACAACGTATCACATTAACGCGCGCTAATTAACAGATCCGCAAGCTGTCGTGTAAGCGTGAAGAAAAATGAACGAATTTGCGCGCTAAAGTGTCTTTGATAGTCTCACAGAGGTTTGAAACGACCCTATCGATCTTTTCACGTCGATAAATTTTTTATGACATATTCTGTATACCCGGTTGCACGCCGTTCTTTCTTCGCGCCGAGTTCTATATCGGCCACAAACATCATCCGTATTATTCCCTACTCACTCGTTGCTCTCTTCAGGGATGACGAGGCACTCTCTGGTGATTATATGCTGCTACTTGTATACTCTGTTTGACATGGCCGTCCTGCATTTTCCGTAAGTACTTGCACTTCCTTTGCCGGTTGAAAACTTCATCTGGCAAAGTTTTCAGCGACAAACGTACATGTGGGCAAAGCACAATAGAACTTTAAATTCTTTTACACAACTATATTAACATTTATTTAACATTTATTTGAGATTTTATTTGGGTGTCTTTTTTATGAACAGTTATTCTCTCTCTGAGAAATTGCACGAATAAACAAAACTGACAATTTCTGATAGTAATTTTTGACAATAAATCTATAAAATCATTGGTTAAATAATGGCTGATTTATAAAGTATCTGTAAAGTAAGTTTGACCATCGGTTTTTGCTATTACCATGATGTGTGATAGATATTGCAATGTAAATTGCCATAGTATCGTTACGGTTTCAACGGTCAAACTGATGATTTTTATATAGATTAAAAAAACTGTTATGTGTATACAGTGCACGTAGAAAAAACTGTAGCCGAAAATTATTACAAAAATGTGAAATGTTTGAACTGAAATAATAACGAATTTGTTTTTATTGTTAATACAGCAAGAGAAAACTAGGTCGACGATGTTTATTTAATCTGTTCCATGCCTGCTGCCAGTTAGATGTTTATTTGCGAAAAATTCAGAAAGGAAAAGTTTATAAAAAATAAGCATAATATAACATAAGCGTGAATTATTAATTTAAAAAAAGTCAACGCGAGCATTTGCTATTAGATCGAATCAAAATGAAAATTGCTCAGCAATCAATTTGATATTCTCATATTGACAAAAACAACATATTTTGAAATGTAACATTAGACTTTCGTATATTTTTGTTACAATCACATTCAGAAGATGATACATTTGAGTAAACTTTCTGTGTTTGTATAATACTACTGTTTATGTTTATACAATATTATTTTAAATCGAGAAAATTCAAGTATAAATGAGCATGATTTTTGTTTCTACAAATTTATTGACGTATAACCAATTTTTATACTTACTTTGTTTCTATACTTTTTATATTATACTTTTATTTCAAATACTATTTTATTTCTGTTTGTAAAGATGTACTAACGTGGTTCGAACATTAGTTCACCGAAGTCTGAAACATCTCTATAATGTGACGTGTATAATGTACATATAGTACACAATGAATACGCAGCGATTTAACATTGAAGAATTACGCCTATACTATTCACCTGCATTTCAAGGGCACAGTTGTTCTTTAGTCAATAACGCAACGTATCTTAATTGAACAAAGAAAGACCTGCAGATAGCAATCTGCGATATCGACATCGATTACCGGTTCACGACTAGAAAGAATCTCTCTCTCTCTCTCTCTCTCTCTCTCTCTCTCTCTCTTTCTTTTTTTTCTCTTTCTCTCTCTTTCTCACTCTCTGTATTAATAAAACTCGCCATAGTACTCTCGCGCGCTGCCTCTTGCAGTCCGTGAATTATTTATGAGCATCGTCGATGCTGAAATAAAACCCGCGATATCATCGCGGTAGATGCTATTTAATTTTTAAGGTCATAAGGCTGTAACTTATCTGCGATTCAAAATTAAAAGATAACGATGCTTGTTACAGTGATTAATGATAATTTGTGATTTTAGATAACTTCATAATGAAGAAATGACACGTGTATTATTTTACAATATTTTTGTTGTATTAATATTTTGTTGTATGTAATATATTCAATATAGTAAATTTATTGTGCAATAAATCCAAACATCTTTGTAAGAGCTCGAAATAAGTGAGAACATTTTCGAAAGACTTATACAGATTATTACTCTTGGTAGGTTTCACAGTGGTACATGGCGATTTTTACGCGGGCTTATGAACTGATGTTTTGTCATTACAATGACACGAGTAGTAATTCGATCTGTAATTAAAAAAAAAAACATACTTGTCCGTGTAATAAATTTTGATTATTTTTGAGAACAAGAAAACAATACACTACAAAAACAACAAAACTGAAACGCAGAAATTGTCAGTAGTTTCATTAAAGAGTAACCTCAAAGAGATGAAAGAAGGATGTTAAAAAGTGGTCGATTTTTGCCGCCGGTGTGGCAAGTAAAATTCGAATAATTTTTTATAGATTTTTGGTCGTAGAATCACATGACGTATTTAGTTTTTCCATATTTCCCTTAGTGTGCTAAATAATAGCTTATGATGAGACATTGATTACAGAAAAATTTCACATTAAGCCTACTTCTCGTTTCGGAGATAGGCGAGGTCAAAATTACTAAGTTGGGTGAGAAAAGAGCATTGGTATCGTGATATACGTCACAAGTAAATCTATAAAACTCAACCCGATTTTAATGAAACAACTTTGTACACTTGTAAAACTACGGCGTAAAAACAATCGATATATATTTTTTAATAAAAAAATAAAAAAAAATATATGTTGATATACAAAAAAATTAATGCCGATATAAAAAAATATATGTCAATTATTTGTCATAGTTTCACAAGTGTGCAAAGTTGTTCCATCAAAATCGGTGAGTTCTGATAGACAGTTTTGTAGATTACTTGTGACGTGTGTCACGATACCGATACTCTTTTCTCACTCAACTTAGTAATTTTGATCTCGCCTATCTCGGAAACGAAAAGTAGGCTCAATGTGAAATTTTTCTGTGATCAATGTCTCATTATAAGCTATCATTTAGCACACTATTTGATTCTAAATTCAAGGACTTCAAAACGGGCGATTTTTGGGAGTTACTTTCTTAATTTAAAATGTGATTTTTTTGTTTAAGAGAACTTCGATCAAATTAATATTTTAATTTTGTTCAACATCATTAATTTTACTATAGATAAGTTTTTTCTGACTATAAAAATATTTATCAGACGAATTTTAAAAGATAAATCAAAATTAAAATAAAAGAATCTCACAAATATCTCATCGAGAATTCTATCGAGTGCGATTCGTCACAGCTTTTTAACTGGCACACGTAGAAGCGTGTCAGATGCGTTTATATATAAATATAAATCTGTATCTTCTTGGAATTATTTTCACATTTCAGAGAGCTGGACTTCGATGAGTACGGTAAAAAGGAATCTTCTTTGTCTCTGAGGGACATCCTGCCGTTAAATCCAAAGCAATATGACAAGCACAGAGCGCCGAAATTCCTTGGACAGCCCACTGTCGTATATTTTCATGTGACGGTGCTCAGCTTAGATTCAATAAATGAGGAATCGATGGTGAGCGAAAAGCCGACGTACACGTGAAAAGTTTTTTTCTCCTCGTTCGTTAAATTCATCTGATGTTATTCGTGCCGTTATGTAATAAATCAATGTTTTAATTATTTTCTATACAAATGTACTTTTTTACGAATGTAGTTTTTTCATTATCTGTGTGTGCGCGCTCAAATAATATTCTCTTTATTAAAAAATTTTCTCAGCTCGCGTGAAAGAGTTATGAGAGAGTTATAATAAAATACGCGCGCGAATTATAAAAGTATAAAATGAATTTGAAAAGTATAAAAGCTTTGAGTTCTTTCTCTTATGTTAATAAAAAATAAAACTTAGCAGCTGATTCAAACATTGATCTACTTGCGCGATATCAGTTAATGGAAAACAAAATAATTATTTTAAATAATTCCGCAGTAAAAAATTATCGCAAGAGATAATTTTACTTCGCATATTTCTTTTCATTTTCCGTGCTCATCCAAGTTTGTTCGAGCAAACGCTTAGTTTGCAAGAACGCGAGTTACAGAGATTATTATTATTATTTTTTTTTATTCTGGAGGATTGCGCGCAGTATAGTTATGTCGTCTGCGTTTATACGGTCGCGTGCGAGATGCGGCCGTTTGTTCATGCTCTTTTTCACAACGATAGACGTATGTGGCCGACATATTTCTCGCGCAAAGCTGGAGGGACTCCAGGCTGCGGTTACCAGAGAACATGTCTGAGGATTACCGGATACTCGACGTGGATTGGCTGCACAACATCTGGCGACCTGACTGCTTCTTCAAGAACGCGAAAAAGGTCACTTTCCATGAGATGTCCATACCGAATCACTATCTCTGGCTGTATCACGACAAGACGCTGCTTTACATGTCCAAGTGAGATGTTTGCAAACTTTAGTTATTTCAATTTACGATTATTTTTTATTTATTTTTTAGCAATTTTTTTATTTACAAATGATTTGAGATTCAATGAACAACTACTATACGTAATAATTGTTCGTTGGACAATGTGATTTGGTATACAGAGTGTCCGGTAATTGCCGGAACACCGCTCATAGGCAGGTAAAAGAGATTATTCTGAATCAAAAAGTTCTATACCACATACGCAATAATTAACGGTAATTAATAAAGATTTGTAAATGAACGTGCACCCACGTGCGTAATGAGAGCTCAGTGTTTTGCGCGCTTACGCCGTAGCAACAAAATGGAAAGAGCTAATATAAACAACATATAATATACGTAATATACATATACATGGTATATACAGGGTGCGTCGCCAAAATCCGGACAAATTTCAATTTGATATTCCCTCCGTTCAGTACCATTGGCAGATGTCGCGATTGGCATTCAAATAGCTTGACGCATGTACTAAACTACCATAACTTCGAAACAGTCGCAATGTTGAAACNAGCAATAAAACATATTTAGAAAAACATATATAATTTGTCCGGATTTTGGCGCCGCACCCTGTATATGTAATTTATAGTTTTTCTTCTTGTTTTATTCTAGTAAATAAGTAATTAAATAAAAACAAACTCATTTTCGACACATTTTAACATTGGACTTTATTTTGATGAAAAAATACAGTCTATACTTTCATGTTTATGCGTCGATAATTATTGATTTTTATGTATATTATATGCTGTTCATGTAAGCTTCTCCCTATTTGTTGCTACGACGTAAGCGCGCAAAAGTCTAAGCTGTCATTACGCACGTGGGTGCACGCTCATTCGCGGATCTTTATTAATTAACATCTCGTTAATTATTGCGAATCTTGCAAAGTGGTATGGGACTTTTTGATTCAAAATAATCCCTTCTATCTGCTTACAAGCAGTATTTTGGCAAATACCGATCGAGAGCCGTATAAAGAAACAATAATAATTTTGTATTTTAATTTTGTATTCCTTTGATATAATTTCATATTAAAACTTAAAAGAAAACAATTATATAGTTAACTAACTTAAATGACAAGATGACTTCCCGATACAACTGCAAAAATTATTTTTATTAGCGCAAAAGTAGCAGTTTATAACTTTTCACTTCGGCGATATACTTTTACGACTTTGTATAGAAAATCACTCTTATAATTCTGTTTAATGGGACGTGCAACTGAGATTAAAGAGCAACGCACTTTTTTATTACGTGTGAAACTCGGACGCACCTAAATAATTTTGTTTTATCATTCACGAAAAAAAAATACATATTAATAAGTAATTCAAACAAATTTTAAAGCTCGTTGAAAGTTAAACCAATATATAAGGCCTTACGAGCCGTTTTCAAGTGTTGAGCGGAAACTGTGCGTGTATATATACATATATATACACATGTAACGAATTCAACTTGTAAATTTTTACAAGTGAGTGTTTTTTGAAATTTGATTTGTGAGTGTGCTTTAAAATTTGTTTGAATTACGCTGGCCGAAAATAAGCGTTCAACAGTATCAGACCATCTTTGATATATGTATAAATATTGCGAGAATAACTCCAAGTGACTCGGTGGCCTAACAGGGTAGGCGATGGCACGGAAAGCCGGAGATTCCAGGTTCGACTTCTGGCCGAGGAGTTTTTTTCGCAATATTTTAAAATTAGTTAGGGGGGTATCCGGGGTATCTCATATGTGAGATGCAAATCCAGCATCCCGTATGAACTTAAGAATTGAGATTTCAATTCAAAAAACACTCACTTGTAAAAATTTACAAGGTGAATTCGTTACATGTGTATATATATATATACACGCACAGTTTCCGCTCAAGATCTTGGAAACGGCTCATAAGGCCTTATATATTGGTTTAATAAGTAATATTATTTTATGCTTATAAGACTTTATCGTGGATCCGTTTATTTTTATTTACAGTCAACATATTGTATTTTATTATATTTAAATCAACATATTGTAAATTTTCTGCTATTCGTTTTGTTTGATGTAATTGTAAATTGTAAATGATACGGATTGAATTGCTCTTTTTTTCAAGTGTCGAAAGCACAAAACTGGTAGAGAAAAAAGATTTAACACATGGTTTATTAGTGCAACAACAACACCGCTGGCAAGTAATTTATTTACATTTGATATTGCGAAATGTAATTTGATTAATGGAGTTATTACAGCGCACAAAAAGAAAATACAATATTTTCGTTTCAGATTGACATTGGTACTTTCCTGCGCGATGAAATTCGAGTCCTATCCGCATGACACTCAAGTTTGTTCGATGATGATCGAGAGCCGTAAATACCTTATCTATTAATAGTAATAATAATATTGGCATGTGAGACGGAAAGAGAGAGAGTATACATAAAAAAGAGTATACCCTTACGAAAAAGAACTACTGGCAGTAATATATTGCGGCAGTGGTACGAAAAAATTACTGGCATTCTGTGTAATTACCAGTAATATTCTCAGTGATTCCTGTAATATCTGATGATATTCTTATGTGATTGTCAGTAATATTTATATTACTGACTTTATTTATATGTAATCGGCAGTAGTTCTTTTTCGTAAGGGTACATACGCAAAGTATACATACACATTATGTATACTTCGTAATTATGTATTTTTCGTAATGTTTGGTAAAATTTGATGATAGAAATAAATAGAGACAAAACTTTGTGTGATATATAAAAATTATAAAAATAAAGATAAAATATTAGTACGGTTTGAGTAATGCAAAACTACATAATAAAAACTTTTAATAATAAATAAATAACAGTCAATAAATGTCATAAGATACGTATCTCACGTAACGGAATATTCACAGATTCTATTAATTACTTTTTTGTCTTCTCTTTTTCACGCTCTCTTTCTGTCTATGACGTCACGATAATAATTCTATCAATTTCACCACCTAACCAATCAAATTATTACTTTTACTTTATTCTTCCTTACTTATTTTTTTCCTTGCAATCACTTTTTTTGTGTGTATTCTGCTTTATATATATATATATATATTTTTTTTTTTTCATTTTTTAAATTTTGTTATATCTCGTATCTTTTATTCCAGTTTCGCATACGACTCAAGATCTGGTATTCTTGTGGAACATGACGGATCCTCTCGTGGTCAATCCGGAGATCGAACTGCCGCAACTCGACATATCGAACAACTACACAACCGACTGCACGATCGAATACTCGACCGGAAATTTCACGTGCATACAGATCGTCTTCAATCTGCGCCGGAGGCTCGGCTATCATCTGTTCCACACGTACATCCCGTCCGCTCTGATCGTCGTCATGTCTTGGATCGCTTTCTGGATCAAGCCGGAAGCGATCCCGGCACGGGTCACTCTCGGCGTGACGTCACTGCTGACCCTCGGTAAGTGCCACCGCCACCCCTATATTCACGCTCCGCGATAACTATGCATGATATTTGCCCACAATGGAACGCTTTGTAAGGCACGATGGTAGAAAGCGTCAACTCAACTTGTTCTTTGCTAAGTGCAAACTATACGTGGATTTAATCATTGCTATTTGCTACATCTTAGGTCTTAGAAAATCCGAAATTTAAGGTAGTTCCCGTGCAAAACCACTTTTCTATAGAATTTAATAAAACTTAAATGAAATGTTAACAATAATGATTTACAATTACTGTCGCTATTTCAAAGAAATTGACCGATTGTGAAGCAAGATATATATTCACAATTAAAGTTGACGTTATTAACATACATTTCCTATACCGAATACATCAAAACAGCCTATTTTTGTTTTTAATTTCAAAACGACTCTAGAAAGTTTTACAAAAAACAACTATATTATAGAGAAACATTTTACAAATATTTGAAAAAAAAACATTAGTTTTTACCGTTTTCAAAAAAAAAAAAAAATACATAGTTATACATAGTTATACATTTTTCTAACTTCTTTTGGACGTACAGTATCGGTCAAAAGTTTAGACGCATCGTCTGATGTTTTCTATTTGTTTAATAAATACAAGTTCTTGCTTGTTGTCATACAAGTAATGTAAACGTAAAAGACAGTATTGTTAAGCATATAATTTTTTGTACTGACACTAGATTTCACTTTTGAATAGAACTGTCGCACGGGAGCTACCTTAAAAAATTTCTCTTTTCACCGATTTTTTTAACTCCAATTTTGCAATTATTATTGCGAGTCACTATATTTCTCTCTGACAAAATAAAATTAAAACAGATACAAAGTTGGTCGCAAAACGTATTACACACACATACACACATAAAATATTTCTATATGATATTTTTATATAAAATTAACTAAAATATAATGAAAAATTAAGTCAAGTTTCTATTCACAAAGAATTGAGGCCTACTTGCTATTTCATGAAGTTCTTAATGTACTTTTAGATTTCACTTACGCCAAATAAATAATCGTAAAAATGTAGAAGGATCATTATATAGGATCAAACATCATGTTTCAGCAACGCAAAACACGCAGTCTCAGCAATCTCTGCCGCCGGTCTCATACGTAAAGGCAATTGACGTGTGGATGTCCTCCTGCAGCGTGTTCGTCTTTCTGTCTCTCATGGAATTCGCAGTGGTGAACAACTACATGGGGCCCGTCGCCACAAAAGCCATGAAGGGTTATTCAGATGAAGATCTTCGAGAGGCCATCGACGATTTCAAGGTAAATCGAAAAAAAAACTCAGCTCGATATTTACGGCGAACGCTTCGTCCGGCATTCGCAAAATTGATAGTCGAGATAAAGCGAAGTACGCGACGCCGCGCGTCGCTCGAGTGTAACGCGATTTCGTTCTGTCGGCACGATATCGCTGAATTGAATAAAAACGCCCGGGAATAAATGACATCACATTCTAAACCGTGACTGTCATAAATTGTTGACGTTCTTCAGCTACCTGAGAATTGGCGAGATGATATCGACGATGTTACATTACTTTGTTCGATGAGAAAAAAAACTGTTTCACTTGCAATTTTGTAATATTCAAAACTGTATAAACTCGACAGTAGACAGAGTAAAATTTTTTTGAATTCTACTTTTAGAGACAAACTAAACTCACATTTTATTTTATTAATTTTTTCTTTTTATATATTAAATTTACTCTACAAATATGGAGCGTGATTTATTTATAAAAAACAATTTCTATACAACTGTATAATCTTATGATAAGTAATGTCAGTGAGGAAAGTGTTGCAAAGTGTCGTCATTTAAAAACCAGTTACCTTTGTCGAAACAACCGTTTGTAAGGTGCGGCGAGTAGATAATACTTGCCATTACCGTCTCTTTCTCAAATAAATTTTAAAAGTTTTATTTTATCGCGATGCGTTTTGTCGTCCATGTGACTGGTGAAGAAATATTTACTCTTTTCTTACCTTGGTTTATACGAGCTTTGTACTGCGCGTACTAACTCTTACTCACTCACTTACACACACATACACACATGCGCGCTTGTACGTCTTGTTGCATCTTACCAATTTCATTAAATCCGTCGCGTATATTGTTTGCTTGTTCTATCGCATCGCACTCGCTTCCAAAAATCTTTAATGTGAACGAAATAAATCATCACTCCCTACATATAATCCCGTAACTCTAAAACGCCAATTTTTGGGAAGAGCAGTTTAAAAGTTTAAAACTTCATATGTGTCTCCCTAGTCAAAGAATTCTTTTAGTTTCGAAGTTTTACCTTACTTATGAATATTTTTTTTTAATATTTGGTGACCATAAAGAACATGACTTTCTAAGTGTCATTATGCAATAAAATGAAAATCTCATATGTGACACTTATGTAATTATATGTAGGAAGTGACGAAGTAATCTCTTTTTTTGGCAAAAACGTTACGTTTTCTTTGATTTTTATGTATATTAATTCCAGATTGCGAAGTTTGTACTAATAACTAATAACTAATAACTAATATTTGATAACCTCGTCGAGGTTATCAAATCGATTCTTTTTTTGCTTATATCGTAAACAATAGAGATATACGACATAGTATAAAATATAATATACTTACAACTCGTAAAAAATAGAGGTAATATAAAAGTAAATAAAGAAAAATGTAAGGAAAATTGGGAGAAAGAATTGGAAGATGTGGTGTAATTTTTTATATTTATTGCTCTCCCGTGTGCTATTCCAGTAATATATTCTTAGATTTTGTGTTCCACAGACACCGATGAGGCCGGATGCCGAGAGAAACAGAAGTCCAGTGAGATCACCAATGGTTCAGTACGACCAGTGTTGCGAAGGACGTGCCACCGCCATTTACATCGACAAGGTTTCCAGATTTTTCTTTCCTTTCTCCTTTTTCATCCTTAACGTCGTATATTGGAGCACCTTCCTGTAAAGTAAGCCGGCAGAGCGTACTTCCGGCGAGAAACAAATAAACTTTTTGTGGATGAAATGTACGGAGAAAAATTTTTTCGCGAAAGACGCAACAATATATTTGTTGAAACACGTGAGAAACACAATTTCAACGGAAATTACATCCCTCCGCTTTATATAAGATATCACATGTAAATTACGGCACAATAAGAAAATTCAGTAAAAGCGAAATTAATTTCGTATTAATATGTTTGCTAAAAATATATTGTAAATGTTAACGTACCATATAAATATAACAGATATCAATAAAATTTGTAAAGCAACGTAACTTAGTCACTAATTTCATGAAGTTATAAAAATCTACTGTGTGCAATTTCAAATTATTAAAAAAACTATATATGTTGGAAAACTATAACATTACTATAAAATTGTTACATGTGTATGGAATTTTAATTACCACTACGATGATACTAGTTTATATGATAATTAAGAATTAAGTGATTAATATACAAAGAAATATGTTAAAGAGAGAACAATTATACTCACCTCATGTTCTTCATTCTCTCAAGCTCAAACTCAGAAAAGAGAGATTATACTTTCTAAAATACAATTTATATTATAAATCTCATATTTCTAGCTCTGCGAATAAAAATACATAATAAATACATACTTATTAACCAAATGTTATAACTTTAATACAATAATATTTAAATAGTTTAATATTAAAAAAAATTTTTTTTTGTAGAACTGAAGTAAATATCTCCGTAGTAACTTCAAACAAAAACAAAATAAAAACTAACTAAAAATATTTTATTAAAAGTGAGAAAATGAAAATAAGAGATAAAAGTCTTATAAAAAATACATGAGGAAAATTGTAGAGAGAGAGAGAGAGAGAGAAGTAACAAAAATACTAAAGTTAATCGATACTTGCTTGCAGTATGCGATATATTGCACAATATGCGTAATAATCTGGATTATTGCGGTAGTATCAAAATCATAATGAATATTGTTTAATTGCTCCATTCGCCAACTGAACTCTTCTAGAGCAAGTTAATGGCGCGTGCTGACTGACACATGACGGAGTATTACTACTGCAGCAGATCATTACTATTTTGTGCGCTATAATAAATTGAGCATTTATGTCAGTATTTCTTAACTTTTTTAATCTAACGCTCCTCTACAAATAATTGTTTAACAAAATCAAAAGATATTTATGGTTTTATAGAATAAGCATAAAAATTAAAATAGAAAAAGTAAAGTGTTTTATGCAAATCTCTTTTAAATAAAGAAATTCGTATCTCAACATATGAGCCCCGGGAAATGATTTTTTTTTTTTACTCAAAATACATATATAATACGCTTTAAGAGTGAAATTTGTTGTTTATCGTGAAAAACAAGAATTACATATTGAGTACAAAACTGGATGTAAACGCTTGTTTTTTTTGTTTTGATTATATTCGATTACACAATCACTTGTTCTTGCTTTTATTGCTTACGTAAATATCGGGTCATCCTTGCACAAGCATTTTATAATTCGGTGTAACATGCAGCGATTGCAAATTTGTAATGGTCCTCAGCGCAGATCAACAATAGTAATACTGCAATATAGAAGTAAAATAAAACGCAATAAAATGTACGAAACTAAACGGGAACAAAACTTATACAGATAAAATTTGCAATTGATATTAGACAATCAAAACTAATTGACAATATTTGTGCAAAAACAATATCAGTTAATATTATATGATATTATTTCATACGTATTACTTTTTGATGTTATTTCATATACGTATTATTTTCTGTAAGGTGAATGTAATTAAAAATAAAGATTGATTTGATAATATAAAAAGTGCTTTGAAAGTGTTTCAGTGTTTCATAAAAATATAATTCTTCTGACTTATTATTTTATATGTTTATATCATTTTCAGTGCTTTTATGCAACCGATATTTCAATATTTCAAAGAATATTTAAGATAAAGGTAAAGAACCATATAGATAACCTGCAAAATTTTCTCGATGAGATAATGTTCACGGCTGTTATCAGTCAAGTGTTAGCATGACCATTTGTGTGTCTCGACGTTTAAACTGCGATTTTCCTTTACCCTGAAATGTAAAAAACGTGAATACCGGAGAGAATGTATTTCTATTTATGTGTATTTATTTCTATTTTCTTATCAATATGTATTTATATTGATATGAATATGTATTTTCTATTTTCTTATCAATTTTTCAACATGATTATTAGTCGGATAAAATAACTTGTGATAATTAATTATGATTTTCAGTACACTTCGTGTAATATTTAATTAGTCTCAATTAAATTAAACGCATCATTCTCCAAACATTTTGTTAGATTATGTAAAATCGCTCTAAATGTAAGTGTGACAAATATATTAATTATGCGATAACAAAATTGAAGACAGTTACGCGCGAAAAAATTTATGTAAAACATATAATATCATAACATTCTACATATCATTACTATTAGCACTACAGTAAAAGAAAAAATCAACTCAGGTTATATATGTAAATGAATGATTCGGAGAAAAAGGTGGAACTTTCTTATTCCGCTTTTTTCAGGCAACTTTCACTTATGTCCCTACATTTGCAGCTTTTTCTCTGTGGAAGGCGCAATGCCTCTGATATATAGCCAGGATTGAGCTCCGATCTGAATAGAAGCATCCTTTTCATCTCACTTTTAATCACCGCAGTTAGCCGCAGACGACAACGATGAGAGAAAATGTCGGTTCTTATCATTCTGCAATTGCTCCGACGAAGAGCAATTAATTGTCGCGCTCCTCACGGCCGCTAATAATTACATTCACGTAAGGAATCATAATTGTTCGCCACCGTGAATAGATCGTTTTGCGGTACGACGTGTTCGAAGTATTCCACTCACGGTGGTGGCTCTTCATCTTCTCACCGCATTCCTGGTCTGACGTCGTCTTTCTTTGGATTCGCGTCCCGTTAACGTCGCGAGAGAACGCCAACGATAATTTTCACGCCTGTCACCTGTGCGTGACACATATCACGACCGTGCCGAGTTTATTACTTAGTCATTAAAGGCTACTATAATTGTCTACATCACTTCATCGGTTTGTGTAACAATTTATTGTTATTGTTGTTCAAAGCTACTGTTATGAGCAACTGTGTAACAACAATCGTTTTTTTGTTTACTTTTTATTATGAATTCGAGAGCAGACAAATTTCTCTATCATTAATATAAAAACCTTCTCTCTCTCTCTCTCTCTCTTTCTCACACACACATTTTCTTCTGCCTAATATGTTACCGATTTTAAAATAAAATAAATTAAAGTATAGATTTACTTTGTATCGTATTTACTTTTAATGAAAATTTAAATAAAGAATTAAATAGATTTTTATTTTCTAGATGTCGCACCTATATAAGGTGCGACAAAATTAAATATATTCTCGAAAACCAGATCCTGTACAATCAAATCAGGACTCTAATCACAATCACATCTTAAAATTTATTCAGCCACACATGCAAACAATATATTGTAAGATTCGATAAACAAACACAAGCGTGAATTGCATTTTGATATTATGTCAAGCCGCATTTCGTTTTCCCGCTCTACAAACAACGTGTCTACCAACGCGCGCGTGCGCTATGAAGAGATAAAAGTTATCACCCGATTTAAAAGCCAAATGCAATCTAATGCGATTATAACCGAGATTTAGACGAGGATGAATCGAAGGAAATTCGCGCGCAGTCACTGATCTATGCACTTTCGATGGCGATCGAAACGATAAGCACGTTACTTAACGATCTACCGTAGTCGTGTTCGCCGTTAACGAGAGATCCCTTCATTTGCGTAATTAACTATCGACTTTCTGTCGTCAGCGCAGTTAACGAGCGTCCCACCGATTGTTAATGGATTCTAGATAATGTAGATGAATTCTAAGAAGGGACTAAACATTATTATACTTGATACAAATTGCCAGTCACCTGTGGTATAGCCATCAAATATACATCTATATATGTCATTCTCAAGAAAGTGACGCAACTTTCAACACCGAGACTACTAAACTTATTAATTTAGAAAAACATCACATATTTTATACAAATGTAAAAGTAAATATTAATTTTTATTATTAAATACAAGAAACGTTAGTGCGTTATTTTTAATTACTCAATTTTAATCACAAATGTACTGTATATATCTACCACAAGTAAAATAAAAATATAAGAAAATTAGATTATTTGTAATTTCAAATATTAGTTTAGTAACATCTATAATTTTTGGGGAGAAATAAAAAAATTCTGGGATTAGGTTGACAGTAAATTGATTTAAAGACACTTACGATGTAATTTATTGTTTTTACATTACTTTTTTAATTATTTAATCGATAATTTATATGATTACTTAAAAGAATACTGAAGTCGTTTGCAATACCGACGCTTCATCCAATTATATATTGTATATTGTATATGTATATATATATATTGTATATATATGTAATTACTGAATAAATTTTATAATTATTGAATAAAATAAAAATACCAGAATTTAAAATGCCAGAAGTGAAGAATTTAAGTAAATGCAATTTTTTTGGAGCCGTCAAAAACGAGCAAACATGATTATATTCATTTTTTTCTCGTTTCCGACACAATTACAGGTTTTCGCGTTACTCATTTGCATCTTTAAATTTGTTTTGTTTTCGGTACAGAAAATATCGATATTTATCGTTTTTACAAAACGTCGGTAAAGTAGACGACTCTAGCATTCCCTTAATCATTTTATTTCCACATTGAAAAACTATGACGTTAAGTTAATTATTTAAACATTGAAATAGAATTTAAAAAACAAAAATAGATGGCTACTTCTTAGTAATGACTCCATTGTACACGGAGGGGAAGTAGATGTCGATTACGGTGACGGTGGCGGGGTCATCCCCTCTGTCAAACGGCGGAGCAGCCGCTCCCTTCGAGCCATTTCCTAAAACAAATGGCATTTTGCACATTGAACCAGCTCGTTTGAACACGATTCCATACGAGCTGCACGCTATTCTTCATTTCGCTCTCTTTCCCTCGCTCGTTATCATCACTATTTTCGCCACATGTGTTTCTTCTTCATGCACTGCGAAGCAATAAATCAGTTCCACGAGAGAGAAAAAAATTTCTCTCTTTACGCGCACTTTTTTTTTTTTTTTTGCTGTCCGATTGGCCTGCGAGTCAGAATAAAACGGCGCATGAAAAGGAAAAGCCCTTCCCTTTTCGCGGAACCGATTCATCACCATACAATGTATCTTTCCCGTTCTCATTGAAGAAAAGTGATTTTTGACATAAACACAGCCGAATTACAATGCAATTAGACAAATGACGAGAGTGATTCTTATGCTTTATACTTCCTCTTAAAAGCATGAGTGAATCTCCCGAGAACGAGGGAATCAGATAAAGTCTCCGCTTCTGGTCTTCCGAAGAAATGGAAGAACGAAAGAGAGACGCAAGAGCGTGAGAGAGCAAGACGAAGAGGAAGTTTTCATTTACACGTGCACTAAATGAATAAAAAAGCATGCGTCGTATATAAAGTGTCTGAAACTTATTGACACAGCTGAAGTATAAAAGTAGTAGTTAGATCATTAGAAGTGCGCGCGCACGCGCACATATACACACACACAGAGTTATGTATCAATTTACAAAATTCGCAATACTTATTATGTTATTAATTAATACTTATATTGTATATACATATATAAATCACTATACTATATGTATATATATAAATATATATATGTATAAATCACAAATACTATAAGTAATAATACTATATAATAAGTAATTATAATATTGTATAATAATTGGTCCTATAAGAGTAATACTATTATTACTTATTATGTTGTTAATTAATTTAATTAACGTAAGCCAGTGAGCGCGTAAAAAGCGATGATCCGAGCTCTGTAGGCGTGTATAAAAACATGTGATTTTTAGAAAATCAATAAATCAATATCAGCTGATAACAAGAAATCGTGCTACATGTCGCTTGCTGCGTTACTCCGCTTCTCGTTGCTAAGAGACCGTATAAAGTAAGCAATCTTTCTTTGCAGCTGAAAATTATTACATATGGTCTTATATATACACGTCTATAGAGTTCAGTCGATTGCTTCCCACGTGCTCATATTAATTAATAAATATTTTAATAATTATTAAAAATTTTGCAAAATGATACATGACTTTCCTGTTCAGAATAATCTAAACTATCTTCACACTTTGGCTGCGTAAAAAAGTTTCGGACACCCCATATATGAGAAAAAATAAATAATTGTAAGAAACAAAAACGACTTTGAGAACTCTTTTGCAAGATAAACACCGACAACGTAGTTTTATATACATATATATGTATTATAAGGAAGATAAGACAACAACAACATC